GGGGTCTGCCAAGGAGACCGCCACTGGCCGACTAAGCGGCGTGAGTGTGGTGCGGTCTCGAAAGAAGGAGCGAGACGCCCCGGAGTCAAGAGTGAAAGTGAGAGAGGGTGAAGTCGACACAGTACCTGAGAGAGCAGACTCACCAGCACCTGAGGACTCAGACTCACTGGCACCTAGAGCAACAGCCTCACCAGCACCTAGAGCAGCAGCCTCAACAGCACCTAGAGCCGCAGTACCAATGCCCGGGTCGGGCGGGAAACACCGGTAACAATCACCCTCCTCACTAATAGTCACAGCATACATAGCAGCAAGAATAGCATCAAAGTCAAGATCAAAGATAGCTACTCCAGCCCTAGACAGCTGGTCCCAGCGAGGGATCTCAGAGGCGTCAGGAAACTGGCGGCGCCAAGCGTCAGTCAGGCGGCCGAAGCAACGCTGGGCGGAGTGTGGACCACCACACTGCTCACCCGCACGGTCGCCAGTGCGCAGGACGTAAGTGCACGGACCAGCACCCCCACCCCGCTGACGCGCAGAGTACCACTCACGGAGCTGCTGCGCGGAGAGGGTCTCCTGACCACGCTGCTGCTGCTGGCGCTGACCACCACCGGAGCCACTCCTCCTCGGCGCGCCACGACCTCCGCCGCCTCCTCCGCCGCCGCCGCCACCACCTCCACCGCCACCGCCACTCCCACCGTCGCCGCCGCCACCGCCACCGCCGCCTCCATCCCCACTACCACCGCCGCTGCCGCCCCCGCCTCCACTGCCTCCGCCGACACCTCCACTCCCGCCACTACTCCTGCTACCACCCTCACCTCCGCCGCTGCCTCTACCTCCGCCTCCACCGCCCCCGCCGCCTCCACCACCGCCCCTGCCCCCCTTGCTCTTGCCAGAGCGACGTCTCCCGCTGGGGGCAGACGCCGCTCCGACCGACTCAAAACCAACAAGGTCGGCCGTAGCAGCAGAGGCGACAGAGGGCAGGAGGGGGGAGGGGGAACACCCCTCAAAGATGGGGGTGCGCGGGTCACCACGAGAGGCCCCTACAGCGAGAATGCTCTTCTCGGCTGCGAGGAGGGACTTCTCGAGGATCTCGACAGTGAGAGTGGTGGGGCAGACTGCGAGTAGGTCGTCCCTGAGTCCGCGAAGGGAGTCAGGGAGGCGGGTGACAATGTAGTAGAGAGTGAAGTACTGGGGGGGGGGGTTCTTGGCGCAGAACTCAGCAGGAAGTGCAGCGCGGAAGCGAGCGTCACTAGTGCGCAGGTGGGTAATGAGGTCGGCGACTGTGGCAAAAGCAGCAAGGTCGGGAAAGAGGTACGGTAGCATGAGGCGGCTCAGTGCAGCAGTGGCAGGGGTGGAGTAGCGTGCGATAACGGCGTCGTACAAGGTCTTAGCACTCTTGTACGACCCAAAGTGCGCACGCTCAGCGGGAGGGAGGTGGCGACGCACAGCAAGACGTGCAGCAGCATCGCGTGTGGCCCACTGTGAGCGAACAGTGGCATCCTCAGTAGCAGCAGGGGCGGGAGAGGCACCAGAAGTGAGATCAAAGAGAGAGAGTCCGTCAGCTCTGTCGCACTGTAGGAAAAGCAGTAGGTCGTCTACCCACACGTCAAAGTCAATGGCTCTGCCCTCAGCGTCAAAGGCGAGGACACTGGGGGTAGCCATGACAGCAGTAGAGAGAGGGCAGTGCGCAGAGTAAAGCTCAGTGCTCACCAGACAGGGCAGTGCAGGGAGGGCTCGGGCGGCTCGGGCGGCTCGACTGCTGGGCGGCTCGGGCGACTCGGCGGCTCGGGCGGCTCGGGCGGCACTGCAGCTGGGGCGGCTCGGGTGCTGGGGCGGCTCGGCTGCTGGGGCGGCTCGGCTGCTGGGGCGGCTCGGCTGCTGGGGCGGCTCGGCTGCTGGGGCGGCTCGGCGGCTGGGGCGGCTCGGCTGCTGGGGCGGCTCTGCTGCTGGGGCGGCTCGGCCGGGAGATGCAGGGGCGGGGCCGTCAGGTGCAGCGGCGGGCCGGCAGGTGCAGCGGCGGGGCCGTCAGGTGAAGCGGCGGGGCCGTCAGGTGAAGCGGCGGGCCGGCAGGTGCAGCGGCGGGTCGACCGGTGCAGCGGCGAGCCGGCAGGTGCAGCGGCGGGGCCGTAGGGTGCAGCGGCGGGCCGGTAGGTGCAGCGGCGGGGCCGTCAGGTGAAGCGGCGGGCCGCTGGGTGCAGCGGCGGGCCGTAAGGTGCAGCGGCGGGCCGGCAGGCGCAGCGGCGGGGCCGTCAGGTGAGGCGGCGGGCCGTAGGGTGCAGCGGCGGGCCGTAGGGTGCAGCGGCGGGCCGGCAGGTGCAGCGGCGGGGCCGTCACGGCCGCGTCAGAGCCGGCGGCGGGGCCGCGTCAGTAGAGGCGGCGGGGCCGCGTCAAGCAGGCGGCGGGGCCGCGACGTAGCGGGCGGCAGGGCCGCGTCAGAGCCGGCGGCGGGGCCGCGTCAATGGAGGCGGCGGGGCCGCGTCAAGCAGGCGGCGGGGCCGCGAGGGAAATGGCGACCCGAGGGGTTGCTAAAAAAGTGCGCGCCTCGGGGCGCGCTTCGGTGGGCCCTAAAAAAACGGTCCTTAGGAAGGACCCGCTCTATACCATGTGAAACAAGTGAACAGGAATGAAATGACTAAGGAAAGATTGGGTACAAATACAACCCTAGAAACCCTGTATCCCATATGTGCTACCCCACTATAGCCTACAGCAACTATGTCATATAAATCTGACACGATTCTGCGACGTGGCTGCAAACGGGCGTTTTGTGTACGTGGACACTTATTTCAGCTGGAAGCTCTGTTTCGGGTGACTTGGGTTGACACGTCACCTCTTCCGTTTGGCTTCACCTAGCCTATGTCGAAGCAAGTCCCGTGACATTATGTAGATGCGATTTGTATTGTGGGTACACAGTGTGGATGGATAACTGACAAATGTCTTACACTCATTTGAGGAGTTAGGGGATTTTTGTTTTGGTGTGTGTTTGATCAAGGATGTAATGGTTATATGTTTTTTTTGTTGATTAGTAAATAGTAAGATATATTCAGAAAGGTTGTTCTTGTTTCTGGTTGCCCTAACTATGGTTTTTTTTTTTTTGTGGACATATAGTGGTCGTATTTATTTTTGTTTTGATGGTGAGTTTAGGGATAGTTATTTTTATTTGCTTCGACCTCCATTTCTTTCACTTTCCATAATGTGATGTAATGGGTTTTGTACTTGCAAGCCTTCGAAAGTGTTTTTTTAATATTGACGCAATATTGTTTGAACTGTATCTGTAGAGTAACTCAATCTCGCTTTTGTTCCCACGAGACAAACCACAGCCCATCAGTCAACGCGCCGTTTGGGGATGTCGCGGCTCGAATTTGTTTCGAGTCGTGTTCGAATTTGGGCTCAAATTCACATCGGCATTCCCTTACCCATCGTCAACATGTGCACATTCATTTTGTGCTGATGCGGTGCGCTGGATTCTTCAACCATTTCAAACATATTCAGCACCTCTCACAAACGAAATGCACCTCGAAATCGGATGCGCTTTGGCGCTGGGGCATGTTGCGAGATTGTGCGAGTGCGGTTGAAAATGGTAAACAATGTTTTAACGCGGTATACTTGACATCCAGTACGGTTTGGCAGGGATCCTCTAGAATATCTACATTGCTGGACCTGTGCTAAGAGCAAAATCCCGTTAAGTTACTGGCATTTGGTGGGGTACATCGTTCTGGAGTAGTGTGTTCAGGCTGCGTTTTTCCACTCGAAGTTGAACATTAACCCTCGCCCCGTGAAATTCAGACACCTTCACCGCCCCTGCTGTGGTCACTGGCGGAGCTTTAGAAGGTCATTGCGGAGCTTGTTGCGCCCGTTTTCGGCTCTTACGATTAATCTCCTACCAGGTTCGTCCTTCCTCACGCATTCTCTTCTTTCACCATCCGTGTTAGTGGAAAAAACTGCAATGTAAAGGATGAACCCACATTCTCGGCGCGTGGGCGACGCGATCCGTTTTGCACCTAAAACATAGCAATAGCTGAGGCTCGGCGCGAATGCGGAGAGCCCGTAGCATGAGAACCTCTGCGCAAGCCTGTGAACATGCCGTGCGTGATGCGATGCGCACCGTGCAAGTGATGCTCGGCGCATCACCTCGTCATGATTGTGCCGAGCGGATGCACGGCGTGCGTGATGCGGTGTGCGCCGTGCAAGTGATGCTCGGCGCATCACCTCATCATGTTCAAGTCGAGCGGATGCACGGCGTGCATGATGCGCTGCGCGCCGTGCAAGTGATGCTCGGCGCTAGACCATTCCTTGCTTCGCGCATCCCCGTGAACACGCCGTGCGTGTGCGCGTCGCTATTGCGGGGCATGCCGTGCATGAGACGCTTGGCGCAACCCGGTACACGCCGAGCTGATGCACGGCGTGCATGCGCGGCGTGCCGTGGATGGGCAGCTTGGCGCAAGCCCTTTAACACTTCATTCTCTCTATCGCGCCTTCAGGCTCTCTCCCTGCCCCAAATTCTCTGTCCGCGCCCCACCTTATCACACGCCCTCCGTCATTCTCTCTGATTGCTGCACATCGCGTCGTCCCTTCCCTTCATTCCTCCTCGAGGCCCCTCATTCTCTATCTCCGCCTTTCAATCTTTCTCTGGCCTTGGCCAAGCGGATTCACGGCGCACATCGCACTCGCGCCGTGAAATTGATGCTCGTCGCATGCCAGACCTTGCGCCGAGCGGATTCACGGTGCACATCGCACGCATCTGATGCTCGGCGCATGCCAGGCCTTGCGCCGAGCAGATTCACGGCCCACGTGTGAGGCGCGCCGTGAAATTGATGCTCGGCGCATGCCAGGCCTTGCGCCGAGCGGATTCACGGCGCACATCACACGAATCTGCTTCTCGGCGCATGCCAGGCCTTGCGCCGAGCGGATTCACGGCGCACGTGCGAGGAGCGCCGTGAAATTGATGCTCGGCGCATGCCAGGCCTTGCGCCGAGTGGATTCACGGCGCACATCGCACGAATACGATGCTCGGCACATGCCAGGCCTTGCGCCGAGCGGATTCATGGCGCGTGCCGTTCCTTCCCTTTGCCCTCCATTCCCTCACCCCGCCATCCCCTCTCTCTGCCCTCCCTTCCTTCGCTCTGCCCTGCCAAATCCCCTCTCTGTCATCCCCTCGATGTGCCCTCCCTTCCTTCACTTTGCCCGCCATTCCCTCACCCCGCCATTCCCGCTCTCTGCCTGACGTTCCTTCGTTCTGCCCTGTCATTCCCCCTCTCTGTGCCCTCCTTTCCTTCCGTTTGCCCGCCATTATCTCACCCCGCCATCTCCTCTCAGTGCCCTCTGTTTCCTCCTTTGGCCTCCATTCCCTATCTCCATCCGCCCCTCCCAGGGAAACTCGCTGCTCCTGCTCATGTTTTCATGCCCCACACTCTCCCCGCCCCACCCTCTCCCTATCCGCCCCACCCTCTCCCTATCTGCCCAACTCTCTCCCTATCCGCCCCACCCTCTCCCTATCCGCCCCACCCTCTCCCTATCCGCCCCACCCTCTCCCTATCCGCCCCACCCTCTCCCTATCCGCCGCACCCTCTTCCTTTTTTCTAAACAATTCAGGATAATGGTGTACAGCTGCCCCGATTGTACCGCCACGGGCTTCACAACAAGAGGCAACGTGACGAACCATCGGCATGGCGGACGATGCCCCGGGAATCTGCGTAATGCGGCTGCGGCAAATAGTGGCAACCCATTCCTCATGAACCGGCACAATGCCACCTCCATGCCATCCCCCACCCTCTCCATTCCCTCTCCCACTCTCTCCATGCCCACTCCTCCTAGCGCCGAAGTAGATCCGGAGCCTCTACGAGGCAATGAGGGATCCACACATGGCAACATGGTGCCCGACTCATTCCATCCAGCCCCCACTCCCTCAAATAGTGTCGAATCAACGCCGGATGTGTTGCCCGATGACGCCACCTCTGCCCCTACGAATGGTGAGGCCGAGGGCAGCACAAATGATGGCGAAGAGAGTCCACCGTTTAGTTTTTTGAATGCATTTGTGCATTGGTTGCTCACTTGTGGAGTGAGCAAGAAGAAAGTTGATGAGTTGCTACAGATTTTTAGCCACCACGAGGCGTGTCTCGAGCAATTGCGCGAGCTCAAAAACATGAGAGACGTTGAGAAATATGCGGACGACCACGCACCCGATGCACATCGGAATTGGAAAAAGGCTAAAGTGCGGCTCGCGGGTAAGCCGTATGTTGAATATTTCTACTGTGATGCCATCCAAGGCATCAAAGATCTTTTGACACACCCAAAGGTGGCCCAAAAACTGGTGTTGCACCCCACCCCTTGTGCCTCAAATGTGAAACATGTGTATTCTACTTCCGAGACGGGATATTGGTGGGATGCTCTCCATAAAGAGATACGGAAAGAGGACCCTAATGGGGTGGTGTGTGCTCTCATCCTTGCTAGTGATGAGACGCATTTGGATCATCGGGGGAAAGCCAAAGGCCATCCGGTATATCTTACCTTGGCCAACATTGATAAAGATGATCGATGGAAACCATTCGGTCATGTTTTGCTAGCTCTATTGCCCGAGTACCCATCGGAGTATAACTCTGATGATAAGCTTTTTTTGTTCCAAAATATCATGCACACCGTTCTTGAGCCTTTGATCAAGGCGTCACATCATGGTATTCCTATTGAGGACGTGGCCGGAGTGTCATACAATGCATGGCCCGCGCTCTATGCATATGTTGCCGATTACCCTGAGACATGCAAGGTGTCGTGCACCAAGCAAGGATGGAACATAAGCCACCCTTGCTCCATTTGCACCGTGTACAAGGAAAACTTGAAGGATTTGCTTGACCAACCAAAAGCACGCTTGCCGACCATGCAAAGAACGATTGTTTCTTTGATAAAACGTCGTTGCTTACCCACGGAGGAGAACATGGAGCTATCGACACACCCCGTGAAATGATTCCTATGGGGATGGCGTTTCGAGTCTCATGCACTTCTAAACTCGTATCTATGCCTAATGCCGGATATTATGCACCAAGCGGATTCGGGCATCCTAGAGTACATCATTGATGCAATTCGCGCTCAATGCACAGAAACGCAGAGGGAAGCGTTGGATACGCGGTTGAAATTCTACAAAAGTATCAACCGCAACCTGCATCTTAGACTCCCCTCGGGGTCTTACTTTGGCAATGGTGCATCTTACCAGGCATACGAACATCGTAGTGTCATGCAAATCTTCCCATTCCTTGTTAAGGGATATGCAATTGATGATCAGATCAAAGGCATCATCGCGTACATCGAGTGGTACACATACTGTGCACGAGTCACCGAGCATACCAAGGAGAGTTTACACCAAGTCAAGCTCATGGCGAGTAGGTACGTTTACATGTGCCATTCAATTAGCCTTTATGGACATGGGTGTGCACCTCTAACTAATTAAGAGCATTTATCCCTTTCGACAGGATGCTCCGTGGTCTTGAAGCGTTCACCCAGAAATCAAGCTGGAACATCATCAAGGTGCATCTGGTGAGCCACTACATCGACGCTATCCGCCGCGCAGGACTTCCAAAGCATTGGTGCGCACAACTATTCGAGCATCTTCACATCGAGTACGTGAAGAACCCGTACCGAGCTTCGAACAAGCGCAACGCCGCTGCCCAAGTGATGAACGCCGAGGTGAATAGGCTGCAGTTGCAAGCACTTGCACCACAGCTCGGCAAGCGGAAGCGATATGACAGCGATGCTACAGGTGAGCAAGGCTACTTAGTCAATTTTGTATAATTGTCAAGGCTTCCATTCCCTTCATGCTTGTTTATGTTTTTTATGTTTCTACAATTTCATTTTCATCTGTTCACATTTTCAATTTCTAGGCGATCTCTACAGGATCGCGGATTCTCTCGCGATCCTTCTGGAAGCTGGCGGTCTTGACGAGGCGAACGAGTCCACCTTACGTAGAACCAGGGGCGCCAAAAGCTGCGCGCGACGCCGCTTTCAACAGGCAACTCGCAGCCGACCTGCAGAACCTGCGACGTGCCCTGGATGCGGCACCTGGATGCAAAGGGAGCAACGTCCACGTCATCCAGGTGAGTTGCGCTCGACACTGCCAGCAGCTGTGTTTGTCGTGTTTTTTCACGCTTATTTCTTGCTCGATACTAGTCTATTTGTTTTCCTAAACCCATACCGCCTTGTGGTTTCAAGAAGCAGTTTCGGGTTTGACGCGAGTACAGTGCGAAAAAAGTCTCACAAAATATTGTACAACTTAAATGTGACATAATTTTATACATTTATATTTCTTTTTACTGTGCTTTCGTTCTCATGTTGTGACCTTCAGGTACACAACGAGCTCGCTATGCCCGCGGCACTGGATGCAGATTTCGGACGGTTGCCTCATCGAGTTCGCACAGTGGCGAGCTTTTATGGGCGACTTTGGTACTCGGACATTGCAGTGCGGGGACCTCTGGTGGACGGCAACCATGAAGAGTGGTATGCCAAGACCCTGATTTTATTCCAGCTGAGAGATGGCACGGAACTGAATCCATACGCATACATTAAATACTATCGTTTGCTCCCGGACAAAGATCCGGCAACAGGATGCGCGCAACTGCGTTGGGATTTACAACACCAGCGATACCAGGTCATAACCGTAAATAGTATTTTGCGATCAGTAGACTTGGTGTAGCCTGATTCTAGAGACCAACTGTGGTTGGTCAATAGGTTTATCTTTTAACATATATATAACATTATTATATATAACGCTATTGAACCACCCTCAAAGATAAATGTCTCTCAGTTGTTCTAAGCAATAGTTTCCGTTTATAGGTGCTGTCCTACAATACCTCCTTTGAAAATTTCCATGTCAGCAAAAATTGCAGACCACCCACGAAGGATGACCATCCCTCAATATGGTACAGTACCAGGCTGCGCCGCGTGTAAGTGCGCCAACCGCTGGCAGCCCGTCACCACTTCGCGGGCGTGAAGATGTCAATACACTTAGTTCAAGATCTGTTTGCGGAACTTTCTCTGCCCGCCGCTTGACCATAATATCCGGAGCGAGGCAGCACGTCAGTCGCATCGACCAGCCAGGATCGTCGCACGAAACAATTGTGGCCATACACAACGCACAGCTGGCGTGCCCGCGACGTTGTCAAACATTATATCTAATGTTGTAGTTGTTTAGGCTACAGTGGGTTAGCCTGTAGGGGGTACACACTTCTAGGTTTCCATATTTGTACTCATTCGTTCTTAGTCATTTCATTCCTCGTTCAACATGGTATAGAGCAGGTCCTTCCTAGGACCGTTTTTCCTAAGGGCCCACCACTACCTACCTGCCTATCTGCCTACCTGCCCTAGGGCGCCTCGACGTTCACGCCTCTAGAGGCCCTGTAGGCCCCGCGCTGTTGCACCTAGAGGCCCCGAATCGGCCCCGCGCCTAACCCTAACGGCCCGCGTCGGCCCCGAGCTCGTCCCCTAGAGGCCCGCGTCGGCCCCGCGCCTACCCTAGAGGCCCGCGTCGGCCCCGAGCCTACCCCTAGAGGCCCGCGACAGGCCCCGTCCTTACCCCTAGAGGCCCGCGACGGCCCTGTCCCTACCCCTAGAGGCCCGCGACGGCCCCGATCCTACCCCTAGAGGCCCGCGTCGGCCCCCGATCCTACCCCTAGAGGCCCGTGTCGGCCCCCGTCCCTACTCCTAGAGGCCCGCGTCGGCCCCGTCCCTACCCCTAACAGCCCGCGTCGGCCCCGTCCCTACCCCTTACAGCCCGCGTCGGCCCCGTCCTCAACCCCACCCGCTCCCCGCGCTCCCCTTAGCCGCCTCGAACGGCCCCACCTAGACCGCGCCGCCCGCACCGAACAGCCCGGCCCTAACGGAACCGAGCCGCCCGAACCGAGCCGCCCGACCCGAGCCGCGCCGCCCGACCCGAGCCGCCCGAACCGAGCCGCGCCGCCCGATCCGAGCCGCGCCGCCCTACCTATACCGAGCCGCGCCGCCCTACCTGTACCGAGCCGCGCCGCCCTACCTATACCGAGCCGTGCCGCCCTACCTGTACCGAGCCGCGCCGCCCTACCTACCTACTGCTCCTGCTGCTTTTACTACTGCTACTACCATGGCTAGCCCTCCAGTGCTAGCCTTCGATGCTGAGGGGCGCCCAGTGAAGTTCGACACCTGGCTTGATGACCTACACCTCTTCCTACAGCTCACTGCCAAGGAAGACATCTCGCTGTACGATCACGCCCTAGGCCACGCTACTGCTCCTGCTGCTACTGCCGACAGCAGTGCTCGCTCACAGTGGCAGACTCATGACGCCCATGCTCGCTTCGCTATCCGCAACTCTCTGCCGATAGATGAGCGCGAGCACTTTGGGCAGCACAAGACTGCACAGGCACTGTACACTGCTGTCGTTGCCCGCTACTCCTCACCGGCCTCAGCTGCTCTAGGCCGTCTCTCTCTTCCCTACCTGTTCCCCGACTTAGCTTCCTTTCACACTGTCGCTGACCTCATTACCCACCTCCGCACTAGTGAGGCTCGCTTCCGCGCCGCTATGCCTGATGAGTTCCTAGCCACGAACCCACCCCCGCTCTGGATCACTC